TATGTGAAACATTGAGGGGGAACAGAAATGGATAGCATGTCCATGATTCGATTTATTTTGATTATATTTCTTGCAGAAATTAAAACCGATCAAATTAGAGAACTTTATCGTTGCTAACCATTCGTCATTGTTAATACCATTTTATCAATGCTAATTAGCCAAACATCACAGTAACCCGATAGCTTTCGAAATATCTGACATCAATTGCGGATTGGTTCCAAATCATAAGCTGTTGTGCCCGAAGCATCGTTTGAAAAATCATTCAACAGGACACTAGTAAAATGGTATTCCAATCTCGATATCAGAGCTGTGATAATGACGAACCCAAAAGAAACCAATTTCGTCGATAATATGATATCTGACTTATCATATCGCTACTTTATTAGTTGGAGGGTTTGTCTTGATGAGTGCTACCATCTCTATGATGAAATATAAAAACCAATAACGCCTTCTCGTAGCCGATGGGATAAACGATAGACAACTAGCCTGATTGAAAAGACAAATATAAGACACGTTTTGAAATTCCATATGACACACCCAAGATCATAAATTGTTATGATAGTTATATTGGAAAGACACGTAGATATTAATATTTTTTTTGCTTTGCATTTTGAAGAAAAACGGGGTACACTATTTCTCTTTCGCCAAAAGTAGTTTTGTATAAGTTTTCGTATAGGATGCACACATTACAGGTGATGCGTTCTTTTTTTTATTTAGTATAAAAAAAAGACAAGAATTCGGAATCTAAAGTGTTTCAAACAAAACCTGTGCCCTAATAAGTTAGTTTGCAAGAAAGAAACGTCAGGCTCAGTACAGCTTTAGCATAGCCAATGTAGACGCGGTATACGCAATATTTACAATTAATTTATTTATCATACTCTCATCCAACCATTGATTGTGAAGAATAAAGATTTGGGATTTCTTTTTTTCCCTGCGAAATGAGGGATGTTGTGTTAGATGCTCGTTAATATGGCTTTTGATTTTGAAGAAGTTGAGGGAAGGTGTCTGTATCAATCTTTCTGTTGACCATAGTTTGCCTACGTTTCATAGAATATGAGTTTGAATTGCAACTATATTGTCATATCTTCTTGTTTTTGAAGTCGAATTTTTCAGGACCATTTCCTCATACAGTAACACTTGCTTTCGTCGAACACGCGCGAATCGAATAAATCGGATGAGTCCGATGCTTTGCTCGGTCCTGATTTTTATCTCTTCTTTACCTTAGTAAATTTAACACGGATTAATTGAACACTGTTTAGTTGAATACTGCGTTTGTGTCGAATAGATTTTGTGGTCCATCCCTTCTAAATTCTACCAAAATTTAAAATGTCAAACATTCATGCATCAACACGTCTCGGGGAAAAAAATTCCTAGCTCTGGTCTGAATGACCGAGTGTGATCAGTCTATTGTAATTTTTGGTCGAATATAGATCCCTGCGTTTATACAGGTGTACAGGTGAAAGTTTTAATTCATAAAGAGATAGGCAACCAAACTTAAAACAAAATACACTGTATTCTGTTAGCCGTGAATCTAATGTTTTTTGTTTACTTATTTATGTGCATTGATGACAGAAAACAAAAGAGAAAAACAACTATTGCGCCGATACGGATTAATAGAAAATACTAGTTTGTCATTAACACAACAGTATATGATTAAATATATTTACTGGATATGTAAATATACAAACATATACATATATAAACTGCAACTTTTATCTTATTCCATTTTACGGTATACACTCTTTCAATTGTATATCGCTGTTCATGTAAAGTTATGTTTCAGTGACGTCGTCTTCCCTTTTTCGTAACCCAGCTCGGTGCTATCGATGTAATATCAAGCCAGGATTTCCATGAGTACGTATTTAATGAGTTTCATTTTAAGATATTGTTGATGGGACTTGTTACTGTTAAGGATATAAATGTGAGTGCAATATTTGTATTACTTTAGATATCGTAATTTGTACTTAATTTGAGTGATACAAGAAGGTTTCGAGCGATGCAAATGTCGAAAGGCTGAATTCCAAGATAAGGAATTCAACATGGCCTTCATAGTCTCCGAGAGCCAATCTTTATTTCAGTGTAGAATGAAAGGGTCTAACAGTTATTTAGGCCACATATTTGTCTAAAACAAATCTACAATACTTCAATCGCACCGAGAAAAAGTAAAAAGTAAAAATATTATTTAATTAGTGATGTCAATGTTCTTATTTTATTCAGTGTTTGATCCCCAATTACTGTACAGATAGATTTGTCCTCAATAGGCAACATATAATATATTTACAAATTTGTTAAAAATATTTGTTTTAAAGAAAATTGAAGGACAATCAACGATATATTGATTCAATGGAGGAAAACTGCGAATATATTTTTCCTCTATAATTCACATCTCATACAATTTTTGTAATCTTGAATTCTGTGTTAATTCAGCCAATATGATCAACCAAATATCATTTTGCATCTAGCAGTTATCGAAAAAATTATTGTATCACCACCACATACATTGAAGACATTTAAAACTAATTTGAACAACAAAAATATGAGTACTTTAATTAACTGTGTTTCAAATAACATCAAATCTTGACACGATAGCACAGTGTAGTATTCATGGAGAATCGTGCAGCAACAATCCTCAGAGGTAACAGAACCTTATACAAAACTTGTTTCATAGGTACCATTGATATATGTATATGATATACATTGATATATATATATATATATATTTATCACAGTGAAATATACTTGTAATGTTATCCCTTTAAACAATATGGCATCTAATAATGTCATACGTGATGATTTAATGAAGCACCTGTGCTGCCTTAGTAATTACACAGGTACATGTAAGTAAAATCACCCGAAGGTGTTTGACACATTGATTATCATCTAACACGAAGAACCGTGTGTAACGCCTACATTCTGTATATGGCACACGGCAAGCGATCCCGAGCGGGGTATTAATTAATTATCATTAATTCGGAATGACAACTACATTGACCACGCGACTAATACGATAACTAACACTCACCAACAGCTTCAAGAGAATAAAAGTGATCTGATATACAACCTAGCAATATGCAGTTACAAATCCTGTATAAAACGGTACCTGTATATAAAAATACCTGTCTATAGAGGTCATTGCTTTAAAAACCAATGTAATACAATACACGGCTTCAGAATCAAGGTCAGTTCTCTCTGCTGCCACGAGTGGCCTTCAAAGACTGATTTGAATGCATAGCGATTGATCACATAACTACCCGGTTATCAAACTCAAGTCTAAAGTTGATTAAGCGTAGTGCAACGTCAAGTCATTTACCCTCCTAATACCTTCATTTTCCAAATTTGGACATCACATTTTTTTTTGTTTATTAGAAAGCAATTTTGGGTACGCTGTGGAAAATTATTTCTAGTTGTATTTATAAACTACCTTTCGGTTTAATGTTAGGACTCAAAGTAAACCTTTAATATGGTGTGTTTAAGTATTGTATATATTTGCTGGTGACAAATATATTTTTGATTTGAGTAATGACTTGTGAAACTTGTTTACCGCCTGTTTCATATTGATAGTAAAATCTAACGAACAAATTTAACATGTGTCCAAAGAGATAACGAGGTACAATTTTATTGTAATCTACGTGAGCGTGTTTTCACGCGATGAGAACATAGAAAAACGACTTACTAGTAATTAAATTAGTGTTGACAATATGGATAAATTATTCCATTACACACCTTATTCATCACGACTAACAACGGCTCTTTTTAATTAACAAAATTTAATTTCATACGAATTTTCACATGCTGTTGAATTTGATTCGTAATAACGTTATTGCGAATTACGTTTATTACGAATTCGTTATAAGCGTGTTTTACTGTAACATGAAATACATAATGTTGTATTCAAGAATGCTTGCAAAAATTATGTGATAAACACAATTTTACATTCGTTTCCATTTCATATGAGATTCATAAAAAAGGCATTTTTCTCTTTACCTCGCCAGAGACCTAGGTTCGGGAAAACGAAAATTCAATTTTCAAATTTTCAAGTCTACGAATTGCCAAATAAATTTCATATGAATGGATACTAATGTTAGGTCCTCTTTATATTACCTGCCACAGCAGCACAGCAGTATGGCGTGCGCTACATTACAATCTATCTATACTAGTGAAGAGACTGCTGTGTCCTTTTAAGGTGAACATTAGTTGGAGTGAATGTGCGTCTTCCATACCTGTACCTATATTACTTACCTGTGTATTTGATGGAGTTTGCAAATAATGTATACATACGCGTATCTATGTGAGAGTTAACTACTATTATGTACATGCCCGTATCTCTATGAAAATGTACTACAGTTATTACATACCCGTATCTTTATAAAAATGTACTACAGTTATTACATACCCGTACCTCTATAAAAATGTACTACATTTATTACATACCCGTGTCTCTATAAAGATGTACTACAGTTATTACATACCCGTATCTCTATAAAAATGTACTACAGTTATTACATACCCGTTTCTCTATAAAAATGTACTACAGTTATTACATACCCGTATCTCTATAAAAATGTACTACAGTTATTACATACCCGTGTCTCTATAAAGATGTACTACAGTTATTACATACCCGTACCTCTATAAAAATGTACTACAGTTATTACATACCCGTGTCTCTATAAAAATGTACTACAGTTATTATATACCCGTGTCTCTATAAAATGTACTACAGTTATTACATACCCGTATCTCTTTAAAAATGTACTACAGTTATTACATACCCGTGTCTCTATAAAAATGTACTACAGTTATTACATACCCGTATCTCTATAAAAATGTACTACAGTTATTACATACCCGTATCTCTATAAAATGTACTACAGTTATTACATACCCGTATCTCTATAAAAATGTACTACAGTTATTACATACCCGTATCTCTATGAAAATGTACTACAGTTATTACATACTCGTGTCTCTGTGCGAGTGCGCCACTATTATATACGTACCCGTGTTTCTGTAAGAGTGAGTGCAGTAGAAAGTTCAGCAACATCCATGCTACTCAAGTAGTGTGTTTGGCGGAATTTCTGCTCGAGTGCTGCAACTTGGTGTTGTGTAAAAGGGACGCGTGGGTTTCTTCCAAGCTTTCGTTTCTTCGTTACTTCTTTTTTCTGTATCCCTGGTTAGAAATCAAATAAGGATTTTAACACCAATACCCTACGTACATCAACAACGAAGTGGGTTGTATCGCTTCTAAATTTGTGTCTGTGGTTATTAACAATATCTCAAAAAATCTACTGCCAATTAATGAAATATCAATTTAGTAGCAATTTGAGTCGATATCTGTCTTTCTTTTATTAATTTACATAACATTTTAAAGTAATTTATTTTCAAATATCTAGAAAACCTAGTACGTTTTTCATCTGAAAAGGCGCAAATAAGTCGCAAGACATGTCATCGAATAGCTTTAAGATTTTGCATAAAGGGAGCGCTTAAACTACCCAATAGCTATAAATGTCTCACTGGACAGCATCACTAAGTCACAGCATCGACCATAAAATAAACAAGTCCGGTATTTGTTTCACTGTTAACGATATCAAGGTTCTTCGTCATTTTAATCTTGTTTTGAAAGTCCTATGAAACAATTTTGACAATGCATCTGATTAAAGTGTCGACACGGCCAAGCGATAGACGCGACAAAACACAATGGAGGGCGGATCTTGAATTCACTACAGACCTATTATTTGACAGTTGCGGACCTATTATTTAGTTGCTGTGGTTCTGTTATTTGTCAGATACATGCTCGTTTTTTTATGATCGCTTAAGTATGACTTCAACGTAAATTGACACACTATTCATTCAGCTTTAACACGTTTGCATCTGTCTGTTGACTATTTCATAGTTGATCCAGTGAACCGAAACAGATCAATTGCAAATCACAAACAACTAATCTGATATGGTCTTAAAATTTAACGTGAAAGTTTTGACTTTGACCCATAAAGAATGTTTAAGAATGTTGAAGTCCTCTTTTTGATTACTTTTATGAGAATGTTTGTCCAATGAATAGTGTAACATAGATTTGTTTTTGCAATCATGAGCCTACCTAGAATTAATTCTAACGATACGATAATAAAACCAGATGGATCGTGCATAATCTAGAATTTAACTACATACCAACATGTCAACAGCACCTTAGTACAAGTTCAAATTCGACCAATCTTTATTAACATATGAAAAGTACAAGGTGAATAAAAAAAAAATTCTTGAAGATGACGCGTCTTCTTTTTCATCGCCGACATCCGCCATGTAAATCTTGATCAATCCAAATAAGTGATGCCAAGTTTTTAAATAACAAGGTTAGCTGAATGACCAGGCATAACAACGACAATATAAATTCATAAATTGTAAAATGTATCAAATAAAACTTTCAGTATTCAGGATTTGTACCAACTAATGTATTAAAATATATCCTACACCTGTTTTATCATTCAAGGTTTTGTTAGTGATGTTAAAGGTCAGAAGTTTGGAAATACTCATGACAATCTAGGAAAATCAAGATAGACAGAAAGAAAGGTTTGATTATGCTTTAAAAGGTGATGTATTCCATTACTCCTAAAATATTATTTGCTGAAGACCATCAAATTCATTTATAAATTCTGTACAATTCAGTTGTTAGTATAAACGTTTCATACAAGATTCCTGAACAAGTAATCAGATGTTTCGTTGGAGATATTATTATATTTAAAATAGACTTTAAATAACCCACAAACATTCTTTTTTTTTAATATATTTACTAATAGTTTCTTTTGTCGTACTTAAAGGTAGTAAAAATTATCATTATCTTTATGATGTTTAAGAGGCGCTTGCACTTATTTTCTGCACATAAAACAACCTTTTAACAAACTGGAAATAAAACTGAACACACATTGGAATGCACATTAACAGGGGAAAATGTGAAAACAGATTTTATGCGATACACTGTCAACGCTGTCATTCTTTATCAACTCAGGAACGTTGGGAATGAAAGTCGATTAACATAGAAATTAAAATATACATATAATGAAAAAAAAAACTATTTCATTCTGTTGTTCTTTCAATATAACAAAACATGTCTTAAGTCTAAAATATAATAATAATTCCATAAATTGTGCTGCATGTATGAAGATATGTAACTTCTGATAAATAATCTTTACTTATCTAGATAAAATATCACATAGCTAACTCTATATCCGTTATCATTGTTTTTATGTAATACATAAATGAATAACCCGTCTTAAAAATTGAAAAAAAAATTGACATATTCGAAGTAAGTACCCTTCAAAAGTATATGAAGGATACATTGTACATTACATTTGCTAAAAGCAAATGCAAACATTTAATGACTCCTTGTGATTGTAACACTAGCGAAGTCAGACGAACTGAACTCTTATAATTATTCATTGTGTTAGCAAATATATGGTTACCAAATCATAATATTTACGAATAAAACTGATGATAAGAAATTGATTTTAATACAGTTGATTCAGCGTTTTAGTGTGAAGTATTTCATGTTATGATTTGTTGTTAAGAATATTGAAACTAATTGACATATGTATTATATATATGTTCAAAAGAGTTTCGTTAAAACAATAATTCGCCACGGTCAGTTTCATGAACAAATATTTTACACATTAAATTCTATCTTCACACCTATAAAATAAACATCACATTGTTTTATCATTATAGCAAATGTAAGTTTGCTACGATGTTTCTTGAATTCTGATAGAAAGAATTTGCTTTGAAGAAGTAGCAAAATCACACTGTTAACATTCTTACAATGCTACAGGTACATTTTTGTGAATACCTTTTATTTTGTTTCGTCGTTGTACAAAATTAAATGTTTTATTCTAATTGATGTTTGCAGGAATACATCCGATTAGTAATTTTGTCTTGAGTACATGTATTTGGATAACATTCGATGTTAGGAAATATTAACAATTGTCAAGGTTTAATATACATATTAACTCTTACGGTTCTCAAAATGAGACAATTGATGATGATCTTTTCTTTAAAGACTCTGTTTTCTTCATGTTACTTGTAAGTGCCATATGTAAGATTAATCAAGGGTTATTATTACTTATGTGTTTAAACACAAAATTGTCAAAGTGTCTTATAATAATCACATTTACTGTTAAGCATTAGTCTACATGCATTGTAATTATAGGAAATAGTTTTCTTACTATTTTTAATGGATTTTATTTGATCAATCTTACATATATATATGACCTTGATATATTACACGGCAATACAAAGTATCAAAATACATGCATTAATGACGCATACTTATGGCTTTTATTCAAAAATAATTTCACAATGAATCTATAGCTGAATACCATTAAGGACATGATATAATGTCTTGTTCAATAAAATATAATTTCGGTATATAGTTAACATACTTCCATGATCTTTATAGACAAGTAATTTGATGTATTCATGTAAAACTATTTAACAAAATGCTTCTGTATTGAATATTAAATTCGACATAATTTCTGTAATAAAAAACCCATATCGAATAAGCGAAAAAATCCATTGATAACTTTTACTAAAAAAATTATTCAAGAATTCCATAAGAAACAACAAATATCTTAGTAAATGAACATTTACTATATACTTACTTGGTAGTTTTGGAGGTTTGTATCGTGTACATTGTAACCAAGGGTATTGTTTACTCGAGTCTGGCGATTGTGGATCTGTTACCTGAGATGCTTCGTCTATGTTTCTTTCACCAATGTCGTCTTCATCAGTTTCTGGATCTTCTCGTCTTTCATTCAGTATTCTATCGATAGAAAACTTCACATCAGGTTCGGTATTTTTATGATTTGTTGTGCCTCCTTCGGAATCATTTCTTTGTTCTGAAGGTCTCGAAAAGTTCATGGATGTCAAATCCGTAGGTCCTCGAAAATTTGATGAATTTTGTGAAGATAAGAATTGTCGAACTTGTGAAGGATGGCAGGCTACTGGAGCATAGAAAATCGGTCTTCGACCCTGCATGTTGCTATAAAAAGCATAATTTGCAGCAAATATGGACGCAAACATATCCATATTTGAAAAACAAATTTGTCTTTTGCTATTGTCATATACACATAGAAGAAATGAAGAAATCAAAAGAACGATACAGAGAATATCATATCAGTAGTATATGCAAATAACTTAACTAGCCTTCTAAACTTCACTGAAATGTGAAATCTCCAACTGCTGTAACCATTTTGTTGTTCTTATGTTAATTCTGTGTGTCAATGTTAAAAATACAGGTGTCGTCTATTAACAAGGCGATAACCAGGCTACTTGTTCCGTCCTCCTCACTGATAAAGAAACTAACGATCGACTAATGATAGGTGACTTAAATTTGACAATATGATGATTCAGTTCACATCAGCACGCATGCGTATTTAGTTCTCGTTTACCTGGTCACGCCCACCTTTGTTCACCAGGTAGGCCTCCTCAACGACGAAAGGATTAAGATAAATTGTGTAAAATTATCTTACGCCATATGTTCTCCCGTGCTTCCGTATTATCAAGAACAGATTTCATTAACAAAAGTATTAATTAGGATGGTTACTAATTTCTTTAAGAATTGTCAAGAAAATGTCTTTCAAATATGCTTTTTAAGAGTCATATAACTAGCGGTTTATGATAAAGGTTTCTCATGTTCAATGAGAATAGAATACCCATTCATTAGCTGTACCATATCCTATTTCACACAACAGGTTCAAATGGGTATTTCATTAGCCTCTTTAAATGATAGAATCGTCAGCAAGGCAACGAATTCATGATTCATTAGAAAGCGTCGATACCAGAATAATAAGAAAAAGTGTAAAATTCCAGGTAAGGATCAATGCTGACATGTATAAATAAGAAGTACAATTGTGCTCCATTAGAAAGCATTGCACATAAACACGCAGGTAATGATGAAAAATGAAAAGGAACAGAACATAATAAAAGAATCAGGAAATTAAAACATACAAGTAGCTGACTGCTCAGCTTCACTATGTAGGGATCAGTAAACAAATAAACAACAAGTAAATAAGACATTATCAATTCCTTAACTCATCATTAGGTCCTAAAACAGATCTACAGGTTATCGTGTTCATTTCGATGTGTGAAAAAATATATTATTGGCAGTTACCTTGTCCAAACATTGTTAGTACAATAATAATTACAAGGTTCGTTCGTTGTATGTTAGGAAAGCACGTTTTGGGATAAATTTATGATTTAAGATTTTGTCTGCAATTAGTATTTGAATAGCTTTATTGTTAAAATTAAATTAAATTTGATGTAGTAATGTTTAATTACAAGTATTCTTTGGTTTTTATTGAAGTTATTTTTACTAGTTTTGTGGTTTTATTTTCTTGCCGAAACGAATGTCATTGTAGAAAGAAACGACCAAATGAATCAATATACGTGAATAGTGACTGCAGCAGCTGAGCTAAACTCTCGGCCCTCCGCTAAAAACTCTGGATACATTGTACTGAGCTCATTAATCCGGCGTTTGTTGCAGGCTATCAGAGGGAGAAATATTATCATTGCTGGTGATGATATGTAATAATAACAAGTAATCTGGAAGGTTAAATGTTTTACGCTTGGGTAGAATTTGAATCACATAATCAATGATGGCCTAGATTTGTCGTTTAACATTCAAGGAAACTTGACAGATAGAAAGATTATGAAACTAGTATTAGTTATTGAAACATATATTTAAAAAAAGTGTGTTCTACAGCTGTCTAGGAAAACTATTGCACAAATAACATAATGAAAATGTAAAATTACATCATAAACTGTTTTGTTTTCTTTAATGGTGATTCTAGCATATAGCACCGATTTTCTGTTGATTAAACCGAACCTTGAATGATGTGGATAGCATACAAACTGTATAAAATAATAATTCATAGTGACAGGGATACGTTTCCCTCACCTATCACGCGTAACCATCGTGTATGATATATCTTCACCCAAAAAGGTTTATAGGCACATACTGTGTCTATTACTAAATCCCTTCTTTTATCGGTACATACTGTGTCTATTACTAAATTCCTTCTTTTATCAGCACATACTGTGTCTATTACTAAATCCCTTCTTTTATCGGTACATACTGTGTCTATTACTAAATCCCTTCTTTTATCGGTACATACTGTGTCTATTACTAAATCCCTTCTTTTATCAGCACATACTGTGTCTATTACTAAATCCCTTCTTTTATCGGTACATACTGTGTCTATTACTAAATTCCTTCTTTTATCGGTACATACTGTGTCTATTACTAAATTCCTTTTTTATCGGCACATACTGTGTCTATTACTAAATCCCTTCTTTTATCGGTACATACTGTGTCTATTACTAAATTCCTTTTTTTATCGGTACATACTGTGTCTATTACTAAATTCCTTCTTTTATCAGCACATACTGTGTCTATTACTAAATCCCTTCTTTTATCGGTACATACTGTGTCTATTACTAAATCCCTTCTTTTATCAGCACATACTGTGTCTATTACTAAATCCCTTCTTTTATCGGTACATACTGTGTCTATTACTAAATCCCTTCTTTTATCGGTACATACTGTGTCTATTACTAAATTCCTTCTTTTATCAGCACATACTGTGTCTGTTACTAAATTCCTTCATTAATTTTAAATACTGTAGCCATAATTAAATTCTTTCTTTTATCGGCACATACTGTGTCTATTACTAAAATCCCTTCTTTTATAGGTACATACTGTGTCTGTTACTAAATTACTTCATTGATCTTAAATACTGTGTACATAATTAAATTAATTCTTATATCGGTACATACTGTGTCTATTACTAAATTCCTTCTTATATCGGTACATACTGTGTCTATTACTAAATCCCTTCTTATATCGGCACATGCTGTGTCTATTACTAAATCCCTTCTTTTATCGGTACATACTGTGTCTATTACTTAACCCCTTCTTTTATCGGCACATGCTGTGTCTATTACTAAATTCCTTCTCATATCGAGACATCCTTTTACAAAAAGTCATTCAATATATCGGTAAATACTGTGTAGTTTACTAAATCCATTCACACATTGCTCAAAGATGGCAAAGATACTAAAATTATCTTGAAATTTGCTTACTTCTACACAATTGTTTATCTATTTTTACTTTTTTTAAAAATATGATAAGAGTTGTTTCAATTACTTACGTATACATTATAATGTAAGACTTTCTACACATCAGCATGAAACCGTATGAAACCATTCAACAATTACATTCGTTTCAAGGGTAGAATAGAAAGGAAGAGGTATATAGTGTAAATGCCTTGACTAGACCAGTGAAAGCAAGGTTAGTGGGATGTGAAGACATCTCTAGTCTTCAAAGGTTTTGCAGAATCACCAAATCTTCGAAGTAAACTAAATATGTGGGTTGGTTTGTGTTTTGAATAAAAACGGATATAATTTATTGTATCATAGTTTATGTACATTTGTATATGATTAATTGAGCTTGTAAGTTGATAAAGTTATTTTCTTTTTATTTTTTGACTATCAGTTTTTCTGTGTTCATCTTTCATTCAAATAAAATAAACATTTACTTAAACAGATTGTATTCTAAATCTTAAGTATACAGTATTTCATTTTTAAAATGATATCCGATGAAATATCTAACAATTTTTAAAAATCAATAAACATGTATTGCTTACCTTCCTGAGCAGATAGTCATATAACCCATTGTTTACCCCTTGTTTAGTTAACATGCATAAACACAGTCAAAGAAAGAGTGTTCCAATGTTTCGTTACCATGCTTTCAGAATGTACAATATTGAACATAAAATAGTTTGTTAAAAAATGTATGCAAAGGCAGACATTTTGTTCCCATTGTGGTTTATTTCGTGTCTTTCCAATACGGTTGCATCCTCGTAGCGTCTGCTGAAACTCTAAAGAACAATGGTAAAAGCGAGGACACCCATCAACCAACCAGCCAACAAACAAACCTGTCGCTCCCCTTGTGTATCCAGAACACTGACATTCGTCGGCGAAACAACATCTAGGAGATGAAAAACCAGGACCAAACAACCAATGGCCAACAAACTTTCTGTTTTTACAATAGCAATGAATCATAATATCCTAACACTAGGTTGATGGATGCAAGCATTTCGTATTATCTGTCTGTATTGTTCTTTCAAGTGTTTATCTTACATAACTAAAATAAAATTTGAAAAAGGCACCATTTTAGAACTCGTGTGAAGATTATAGTCTTCAATGCTGAAAAAATCGTTGTACAGAAACCACGAAAACCATGTTTTTCCATGAACTGAAATAGTTTACAAAATACCTTTCTTCAAGTTCACCTTGTTTTTTTAGTTAAAGTATTTAATATATCTTTCCGGGAACTATTCATATATCTATATATGCAATGTGTCTTCTTTTATCTTGTTGATATCTAAGTGAATGAGCATATCACGCTTAACAGTGCATCTAACTTACCTTATTAATAGGCCTCTGTTTTCCGGATTTGGTACACACAAGGCACGTGGATCCATCACCGCTACTGGTGAGAGTGACGCACATTGGATGTCAAACACACTATGACGTTATTACTGTCACGTCATTCAGCTTCAATGATTACATGTACACGCTCATTGATAACAGTTGATGGGCACAAAATATAGATATTAATCAAAATATGTCGAATTTGATTATTTACGTGCCATGAAACTATGGTCCCGTCTGATATTTTGTCACCTCGTCGTTAATAGAAATGCTTAGGCAGAAAAAAGTCAGGTTCTCGTTTAATCGAGTACAAAATAAAAGTTGTTTCAAATGAATACAAAAAGATCATACACATTTTCATACAAATTTCTGTATGGCCCTGTCCAAAGGCTTAAAAACTGAGCATAAAAATGACATTCATTTCATTTCTCATAATTCTTTCTAAAAGCTGTACCAGTGACTTCTTCCAATATTTATTCTGAACATTGATAGTACATTGGTAGTATAGATCCTGCTGGGCTTATATTGATCCTATATAGTCCCCATCCATCCTCGTTCCCAGGTGAAAATCGCACTTATATAAGAGATAGTTT